AAATGCTTATGTCTCAGCATATTGATGTGATAGTTAATAGGGCGTTTCGAAGTCTGGGCTTTGTGATGCGTACTTGTCGTCCGTTCAGCTCCTTGGCCACCATCAAGATTGTATATTATGCTTTCGTGCGTAGTATACTTGATTATGCCAGTCCTATCTGGAGCCCTAGATATGCTATTTACATCTCTAGAATAGAACGTATCCAGAAGAAATTCATACGACACCTCAAGTATAAATTCAATGTTGTGGAGACGGAAACATATGCTGAAAGTTGTCATTATTTCTGGCTCTTATCTCTTGAGGAACGACGTCAGGTACTTGATATGGGGGTTCTATGGGATATAATACATGGCCGTCTAGATAGTTCTGATCTTCTATCTGGCTTGTCGTTCTGCGTACCGGATTACCGTACGCGGCACACTCCACTTTTTCATATACCGTTTCACAAAACGAATTACGGAATTAACTCGATTCTAACTCGTCTTCCACGACTGTATAATACAAAGTTTTCCAAAACTGATATTTTCTTAGGGACAAGGGAACTTTTTAAAAAAGGCATAAAATTGACTCTTCTACCTCCACCTAACCAAACTAAAACTTGAACTTAACTATGGAAACATTTGAGCACGTTTATGTGTGTATGGGAATAAGTGTATACGTGGAAAAATATTTTTTCTTTAATATTTTTTCTTTTTTATTCATATATATATATATATTTTTTTCTTTCCAAGATTATGCAGTGCATGTTTGCGAGTAGGGCAAGCATAATGATAGTATAATAATGAAGGTATGTATCTATATTTTTTGTTGTGTGTATATATATAATATATATATATATGTGTATATGTATGTCGTATATATATGTATACACATATATATATATTCCGCCGGCCCCGCACGACTTTACGACATATATATATATATATATATTTCTTTCCCATTGTTATGCAATGCATGATTGTCATGCTTTTCTCAATGCATCTTTTAAACTCGATTCCTCTCACTTTTGTTATCGAGCTGATTTTACAACTTCTGTTTTGTTTAATGGTTAAAACATTGTTGTAATAATATTTAAGCTAGTTGTGTACATTTGTATTGGCCTGTGGCTGTTTTATGTACCAATCAAATAAAAATAAAAAAAAATAAAAATATATATAAGTGTGTTCATCGATTTCTTCCTGAATTGTGAATCAATTTCTATCAAACTAGCTGTTTCCTCGCGATTTAGCTTACGTAAATCATAGCCTATGTCTCCCGCGTATTATGTAGCTTCCTGTAGATGAAAGACTTTTATAAATCGGTCCAATAGTTTCGGAGCTTATCCAATGCAAACAAACAAGTAATCAAATATTTTCTCTGTAAAATATTAATATAGAATAATGGGAAAAAATATGTCAAGCAAATAAACAAAATTTCCTTTTGTAAGACTGTCACTATGTTGAATATTTTTATTTATATAGATATTTAATATTTTAAGTATTACTAAAAAAGATCAATATGACTTAAAAGCCTGAAAAGTTTTTTAAAAATAATAGAACTGACTTCAAACTTAAAAAGAGTAATAAATAATACTTATGTCTATAACGCCATATTTAAGAAAATGCTATTGAAGTCGAATGCTGGGTGCCTATCATATATTTAATAACTAACAGAAAACCTCCGCCCGAATTTCTTAATGTTTGAAATCGGTTCTATTTTTTTAAAGTTTTATTGGAAAGAAACTGTTTAAGTTGGTCGAGTTTCATTTGTCTCCTAACCCCTTTCGCAATTATTTATTTGGGGTCTCTGTGGTCGGCGTAATATGTAATTTCTTCTATACATCTCGACGGTCGTCGTGTCAACATTCACTTTTTGCAATCTTTGGTTCTTTGGTTATCCTCTCCTTAAATTTCATTCCACATTCATGCTCACAATCCCTTATGTCGATAATCGTTTGCTACTTATTTTTTCTGTCGCTACTTAAACTAACTGCCGCAACTTAAAGCTACTTTCAAACTTCCTCCGATTACTCATTTTCCACTTTGTCCATTCATCTCACTTAATACATCCATTTTAGGATATGCACTTTGTTATATTCACATACGAATTCATTTCATATAACTACAGATTTTATTATGATCTAATAAATTTTCCCTTCGGAGGTCGCATTTAGTTCCCGTGATATGTCGCCATTTCATCCACGCAGAGCTAATTCGGTTCCTTGGGTCTCGATCTGTCACCGTTTTTCTGCATATATAAACCCAGGTACTGTTTTCTGAATAGAACGGAAAACCCGTTCTAATGTGACTGGCATTAACACATAGTGTACGCCTCCTTAGTGAGTAGGGTATACAATAATATTTTTAATATATTCTTGCATTTGCTCTTAGTTCTCAAGTAATTCTAATTTATAGTTTGTTAAAGTTACAGTTTGAGGTGTTTCCTCAAACATGAATAACTCACAATTATAATACACATTACATTATTAATACAAGAGCTATAAATGACTTGTCTTACTTTGAATAACGAAATTATTGAATATATTATCGTGCCTATTGTGTATATTTGTTTAATCTACTTTATTTATGACCATTGAATTGGTACAAGAGGCGGAGTTAAAGCAAATAGCATTCTCTACCAGTAAGCCTTTGGTAAATGGAAAAGAATGATGGCGGCATAAAGTCAACTAACAAATATACGACTTTAACCACACTTAAACTATACTTCAAATGAATTTATTTATATACAATTACATATTAAACATATAAATACTATTCCTATGTATAAACATATACAAATACATAAATATAATACACATATGATGATGATCTTCATAGTTGGGGAGCCGAAGCGGGGATTTCGGGATTTACTAAAGCGCGGCAGATTAATATACAGGGGGATACCTTGTACCCAGTTAAGTACCTGGACCAAGTATGAGCCCTATAAAAATGGCCGCCCGGCAAGGACGAAGGATCAGATTAGTAAAAAAAAATTGATCATCTGAAAATCTCGAGCGCGTCAGATTAAGGTAAGGTGAGCTAGTTACATGCTAAAAGGTGTACATACCTCTAATCTGACAATTTGAGAGTGACGTAAAGAAGGGGGAAGGCTACAAAGTTGTAAAAAAAAAACGTCACTTTGACATTCTCGAGCGTGGCTAATTTTTTTTTTATTTTGAAGGGAATCATTCAAGGATTAGAAAAATATATATCTACGATTTTCACAAGCCGAAGTAATAAAAATTCATCGATAAGATTTAATGCGTGCAGCTACGTGATACCTATATTTCCTTGTCCGCATCACTATTTCTCTCTCACTCTTTTTCTATCTATTACTCTCTCACTCCGTCCCCACTCTGGTTTCGGTTGCCATGACGCCATGACAGCTGATGACACAGACTCGTTCGTGGCGTGATATTGTTTACATCGTATTTCCAACGTTTTTGCTTATTTTGTTATTTTAATGTAAATTTTGTGAATTACACTTTTTACATATTTACTAAGAGAAGAAGAGGATGATGATTCTAGCGATTAAGATGATAATTAATAAAAATACTGTAAAAATTAAATTTTCATATAATCATTTTCTTATAAATATAAGTATTCTACATAAAAAAACATACACTTTTTTATTTGCATGCTAACTCCGGTGCTTTTCTATTTAATTAAGCTCAATAATTTTAAAAAATTAAGAAAAAAAAATTTTAATTGTCAGTTTAAGTAAATCCCTTCAGATAATCGTCAGATTATGAGATATCACGTCTGGGGCATAAAGATGAACCATATATATCTTAATCTGACGCGCTTGAGTATTTCAAAATGGCGATTTTTTTTGCATTTTCTAATAATGGTCACGCGTTTGCGTTACATCCAAATCGTCAGATTATTATATGAGAGCTTTTTTTTAGGTTCACTTGACATCCCCTCAAAAAATCTGACGCGCTCGATAAATTTTTTTTTTCATTTTCAACCCTTACGTATAACCACCCCCATCATGGAAACGATCAGATTAACATACGACAGTTTTTAAAAATGCGTAGGACATGGATGATATTAATATCTGACGCGCTCGAGTATGTCCGTACAACAGTTTTTTTTTACATTTTTAAAAATCTATAGCCGCTTCCCCCACCGATGAAAAGGTATATATTATATGACATTATTTTTTTGTTATCATCTAAGCTTCGCAACCCAATAGGTCTCTATGACGCTCGAGTAAATCCCGATTTAGCATCGTGGGCTCCCCTACTATCATAAACGTTCTAGAAGGATTTATATACATTAATTTAATTTCCTGAAAATACCTTATACAAAGTAGGATAACCAGATAATAAGATATTTTTAAGAAAAGTTCCAGACTAAGTTAATCAGTTAATAAGCCGTTGTGAGTTGTTGAAAATTATTGCCCAAGCTTTCTTACCTTCATCTTGTTTATTAAAAACAGGTGTTCTAATTGTGATTTAAATTGAAATATGCTTGATAATACACTGGATCCTAAATTAAATAATTATTTCACACAAAGTGTCTTAACTACACGAGTATTTTACGATTATAAATTTTAAAGCACATAAACCATATTCTCAACATAATCATATCAGCAGGATAACTAGACAAAGGCCTCCCCAAAACTCTTCATGACGAGAGGCCCCACGTGGTCCTCATCCAATGTCTTCCTTACGATCCTGACAAGATGGTTGGTTCATCTTGTGGAGGCCTCACATCACGCTTTATTTTCCGGTCCATTATTGTCACTTAAGGACTGTTCTTTATACCTATTTTATTTTTATTTCCCGGTTGATTTTTTTAATGTAGCAAACTCATTAGATATCACATGATATGACACAAGATGCCCGTGATCAACTTATTACTGACGATTTGGTCACACACCTTAATTTATGCGCCTAACTTAAATCCCCCCAAGTTGTTTGCGAGACATGGGTGATATAAATAAAAACAGTGAGTAAACATCGGAAATATTATCTTATGCTGCGCATCACAGTTTCAATGTCATTTGTAGTCGTTTTACTTCTTAGAAGGCTCGGGTACATCAAACTCGCTGACTTGTGCATCTACCAGTTGCTTGCTTCTCAGCTTTATGATGGCATGACCTGGCACATTCGGGTCCTCCATTTCGAACTCGATCAGTCCTATAGTATAAAAATTGTCTTTATTATTTTCCATATCGGCACTTCTTTTACACCATTTTATTGATAACATACACAATGTTTGCAAATAAATTAACAGTCTTGGGATGAATTGAAAAACCTTTAAGTTTACATAAAAATTAGATACTTAATATCAATTAATTTTTTACACATTTATCACTAACTAATTGGAATTTGATAAATAAGAAACTCAAGAGTTCAAAATAAAGATTGAAATGCGATAAAGTTCACTATGTGGCAATAAGAGCGCCCTCTTATTGCCACATGGTGAATTCTTTCGCATAACTTAGTTTTGAAATACAAAGCTAACTAATCTGCTTTGCTATTATGTTCTGTAAAACAAAAATCAGCGGCGTCAAACACAGCGCTTTCGCACCATAGAAGTTCAATCTAATCCTTTTATGGTAATGTAGGGGAAATACACATTATATCTTAAACCAACACTCTCCAAACACTCTGTCCTGAGAAGAACAGGTTGACGCGTGATTAACTTATCTGGTAAAACCCGCTGCCGTATACCATCGCTGGTGGGAAGTATCCGAGGTCGAGCAAGCAGCCAACCAGATCTAACCTCATAATCAAATACAGCATTTACTCTTTTAAGTCGGTGTTATTCAATTAAATTTTAATAGCATTGTGCTCGGCAGAATAGAAAAACAGTTCTATAGCACGACGAAATTGGACGACACGATTACACATTTATTGATAAAGCCTGAACATAAACATAATAGCGAAATTTAAAACTCAAGATTACTACAGCATGTTAAGGTCTAGACAAAACAAATTAGTGTAATGAATGATTGACAAGGGAAGAAACAGTACGGTATTAATTAATGGTGGCAATGAGTGAAAAGTTCTGTAATCGCCTAAATGACCCACCTTCCTGCTGACCTCATCAATTTGACAATGCCAGAAAAGTCTGTCGTTAAATATTGGCCCGAACTAACGCTTATGTGATGATTGTAGTTTACTATTACATGTGTATAAAATATTGCTTATTCAAGATTATATATGTTTGTACCTACAATAAGGATGATGACTCATTTTTGTTTATTTGTTCGTTTTTATCGGACTGACAGACTAAATAGAATTTCTTTTTTTTTATACATTCATCTTCCCTATTAATATTTGTTATTAAAATACTTCAATTTGCCCGCTAACAGTGCCCGCGACTTTTTCCACGTGGAAAGTGGCCCAAATATTTTTTATTACATAACAGTCAAAGTCGGTCTAGCCGTTTCAGTGAATAGCAGACAAAAAATATTATTTTCTTATATGTACCGTGTATACATTTAGTAAAAAGTGGTTATTTTATTATTACAAGCAGACATTCCAATTTTATTTGTTTGTATGACGGGAAATTCTATTAATTTGATATATGAATACAAATGAATTATTTCCAATAATATTAGATAAATAAATTATACTCTTAAATAAGAAATGAATAACAGTTACACATAACTCTATTTAAGTCATTTTAATGTCTCTTTTAGTTTGAGTGAAAAGGAAAAAACAGTGTACCTATAACTATATAAAGTTTATTTAATGCTTATTAGTAAGGAGTTAGTATCTACTAGCTTTTTGAACGACAGATCTTGACTTTAATTATAAGACAACTATAAAAATGTATCTTCAAGTAACAATTGGAATGTTCCTTTCTTTCATGAAATATCGAAATGTTCATAAACAGTCAAATGCTCCAGGGAAGACCTTGATTCGTTTATTCCTCCCATGTCGATAGGTACTATAAGCTTTACAAGCAATTTAATCAAGTCCATTTTCATTAAAAGCTCATTTCATTATATGATTGATTTGTGCTGTGTTTTGTTCCATTTGTCTATGCGATGTAGTTGGATTATAGTTGGATATAAGCCAACCATTTTACACAAATTATTCTAATTGGCTTTATTATGTATGTATTTTAATAGCAAATGACAATATTTTGTTTATTACTAATTTTGTAGAGAGCAAGCGTCCAAGCTCTGCTTTGATTTATCTTTCCTTAAGAAAATCTCTAGATTTGTATAGATGTAATGATGTCAGATTCCCTAGAATTAAGCAATGATTCCCAACCAGTGATTCCAACCAATCAAAATATGGGCCACAAATAAGTTAAAATTTATAGTTTTATAGTCATGCAGTGAGAAGAGCATTTGGATAACTGTCTAATCTAAATTCTTTGAATAAACAAAAAAAATATATATATAATAGTTGTCCCAAGTCAAGAAACTCTTGGGCACCTCTGAATTAGAGAGAACGGATACTGCAAAACGATATCGCTCATTATAGTCAAAAGCCTTGATACAGACTAGCATGTGCCAGTATGTTCATATAAGTTGAAGTCGCAGGACAACAGCTAATCTCTTATAAATTTACGCCCCTTTATTTAGTTAACTTTTATTTTTACATTAATTAAAACCGTTTGGTGTATAATTTGTTATATTTGTAACGTTTTCGATTCATTGCGAGCTTTTCTTCGTATCACTTTTCACGCGATGTGACTTATTCAAAGTTTTATCTATAAATATTAAATTTAATATATTAGATGATGTAACTCGTATCTACATTAATACATATAATATGATCTCTGTAAGATTCTTTTACATGGCATCCCACGTGGGCTACCTTTATAATTAAACGAGAAGACCTCTGAGATCTTTTATTTATATTTTCCAGGTAATCTTACAAAAACATGCAGGCTCTGACATAACACAATAGCCTTTGTTGCGGTTTTTCGTATTAGATGTTCTTTGTTTTCCCATATAAAAGACACGACAAAGTCGAATAACAACGATATTGTAAAAGATTGTGTTACTTTATACCAAATTTGTTTTCCTTTACAGAACATAATCTTGAAAATTATGATATGAGATATTGGCAAAAACATTTTGTGTCTATACAACTACTAAGAAAGCGAATGTCAAGATAATGGATTAGTTAATCGTTTCAATACAATCTACATCGAAATTACTTATACTCTATAATAAATAAGTGAACAAATCGTTACAATTGATCAGTTTTGTATTCCCAATAATCTATCAGTAATAGTGAGAAATTTATGTCTCGGGTTCTCATTGCTCATTGGTTAGAGCAGTCGCCCGGATTGCGAAGGGTTGAAGGTTCGACTCCCATCTTAGGGAGGTAATAAATATTATATATCACACTTGTTTCATTGAAACAATGATGGTACCACAACGCTCTATATTATCTTTATCTTAGGGTCGGATATTTGCGAATATTGTTAGAAAAATCGTGAAATTTATTATATTTATGATTTTGAAAAAAAATCTATCTATCTATGATATTATTTTGCAAAACTACGTCAAAAATTTATTTTTTTTACTAATTTATACATTGTAATTATACTTTACCTCCTTCCGCTACCACTTCGTCCTTATAGTTGTCGCGCATTGACCGCGCAAGAATGTTGTGGTAGAAGATTTTAGCATTGGCCTTTACTTCCTCCGTGACTTCCATCTTAGACACTGCTTGGATCAGTACGTTCAACTTCTGACGGGCAGTCAGGATCAGCTTATCGACTGAGAATCACAGTGATATAAAAATTATAATTTAGGGTGGTATAGTCTTATTATATACCAGCTTTTGCCCACGACTTCGCCCGCGTGGAATAGTTTTAAGTCCAGAAATGAGAAAATTCCATAAAAACTTTCATCCCCTAATTTAGCTTCTCCGGGGAGGAATTTTCAAAAATCCTATCTTAGTGCTCCTCTACACTCCCCAAGGAATCTTCATTCTTAATTTCAACTTTCTACGCTCAGCAGTTTCGGCTATACGTTGTCTGTCAGTCAGTCACTCAGTAACGCAAGAATTTTATATATCTATATATAGATAAATGGCACCGACTTAATTTAGTACTCTGCCTAAATCATTAACCACTTGACTCTAGGAGTAGATTATAAGGTAAACGTTTTATGTAAAAAGTGATAATAGCAGATAACTGCTTAATCTAAAGGCCATTCAGTGTGACGACTCTTTTAAAATAATCGGTTGTTCTAAAAGTTCCTACAGTACAATTACAAACCAATGTCATAATTTAACGAGTTTCACAAGTATTTTTAGCAGCCTAAATTTGATTGTTTGTTGATAAGTATAGAGTGGTTTGGGTATTGAATTATTAACTGATTTACTCTAGTATTTATCTCCTTTATATTATCCAGTGAATATATAAATATGATACATTGTAGACTTAGCTAAAACTAACTAGATATCTATTGAAGATTTAGAAAAATTCAACCATGGTTAAATAGGATTGAAAATCATGTCATCTACGCAGCCAAATCCGCGGGAAAATAACTAGTACAGTATAAAGTGCAATCATTTATACTATGTTATCTGAAATTCTATTTGTGTAACATCCGTAGACATCCGGTCGGCAAGTGACATGAGATTGATCAATGGCACGCTATCCTCATTGTCATTCATTCCGCGTGGACGCGAGCGACGTCTTGTGTCAGATTGGCAGATCGAAACAACGCAACGTTCAGTAAACTAATATTTCTGTGTAAAAAGTAAAATGGCAAAAATTAAAAAGAAAAAACAGCTTAATCGAATTTAAAAATATTTGACTAGATTACCCAAAGTATTTTACGTTTAAAAGGATGTATTTAATTGCCTGAGAGATGACTTCTATTACTCTAAGACATAATTAAATTAGAAGAGAAAGTTCGTCGTTTCTCTGATTGTGAAGGAGCGTCCCACTTTGTCGGGATTCAATTGATAGCGAGGGCGTAGTCCAAAATGTCGGAAGAGAACAATAAAAGTGGCCTAGAAAATTGGAATCCATTCAAACAACAAAGGAAGTTAAATAGAAAAATTGAAAACAATAACGAAACTATATTGATTACAAAGTTTGGATTGTTGCCGTATGGCATAGTAATTTACAGAGTAGTTGTTACCTACAGTTCCGATACCGAACGGTTCTGTTTTGTCTCTTTGTATTCGCTCAGTAATTACACCTGAACAAATTTCATGGAAAGTTTGAAGTGAAAATAGCCTTTTATAAGACGTTCTTAAAACTTTGTCCTTTCTTCTTATTTCGTTCTTATAATTAACCTCCCTCTTCATAATATCGTAAATTATCAAGATTTTACAAGTAACACTAAATGAAAAAGGGGCGTTGCTTGTTATAAAATATTAAAGTGTGATTATTATAATGCCTCTTACTTCCTAGCTCTTGCCTGATTTTAAACCTATATTAGAAAATATATAATGAATATCCTCCAATTATTAAATTAAATGTTTCTATTTATACTCTTGCATATTTAATAGATATTTAACTTAATTTTCAATACATATCAAAATTATTTATGTGTTTTAAGTACTTGCAATAAAAAATGCTTTCTTTTAAATATCAAACAATGTCAAATAAAGTCAGTGTTTTTAAAATTTCGATACTAATTACAATTATTTACTATTCTTCCCATTATATTATATATTACTTTATAAATCTCAGATACAAACTAAGGCCTAACATGAGCAATTTTATTGTGTACTCGAGACGTTTTTAGAGTATTTTTATAGTTAAGATATTATAAAGAGAAAAGATTTGATATACTTTTTTGCATTTATTAGGCTTCGAACTATTGCACCACTTTCAAAAATTCCTTCACCTACGGGGAGCTATGAAACAGCTTGCTGAAATATTTTTAGGCGTCATAATCCGTACAATACCACCTGTCACCTATCTATTTTATTATCTTTTTATTAACTTGTTAACTTTAAACTCTGAAGTCATAGCAATAAGAGATTTACCTTGGTACTAAGGATACATATCTCAGCAATAAGTTAAGTTGTGCTGCTTAAAAAGACCCACTGTTTTGCAAAACCCGAGGGGTAATAGTTGTACTGGAACACGTCCCAACATACCCATTTTTTAAGATGGACCACAATCTTATAGTATAATACTATAAAACTTGAAATCAACCTAGGAGCGCTTTAATGTGGCCGCTGCTTTCAAGCGCCAAAAGAATATACTCACAGTCTGCTTCTAATTCTGGCACTGGTTGAATCATATCTTCGATGGCGTACTGTATCGCTGGCGGCACTTGGTCGTATGGTCTGGGAGCATTCGCCGCACCTGTAGTTGCAAAGTAAATGACATTACAAAGGAAGAAACTAAACTAAAACGTGAAACTATATATATTCCGAATTTTTAATGGGGATTAATCGAAACTTACATTTATAATAAAGAAGTAAAATTTCAGGCGTTTCAATTGTAGGGAGTATCTCCGGAAATACTCACTTGATCGTGAAAATTCTTGCATTACGGGAAGCTAAAGAATATAATTGTTATGTTAACTGCATGCTGTAGCTTCATGTAATTTTTAACTTCCTATAATTGAAGGCGAAATTGCAAGAACGTCTACTAATCAATTGATAACTTCAAAAAATGCAGTAACATGTGTATTGATCGAATTCATTTGAATGATCAGTCAACGAAAAAAAAGATACGTCAAAAGCGCAATTTCATTAACAAAACACAATAACTAAAATATCTGCAAAAGCATATTCCCTGGATATCTAATCTTACCGGTATATATATAAGATTCTAAATATAATATATATATTTTTACAATTATATATACATATTATAATAATTGTATAAATATATATTATATTATATTTAAAAAGATGTATCCGAAATCTTTAACTCATTCTATAGTTTATCAGGTTCAAAAAGACAGACGCGAGAGAGGCGGATATTAAAGCAATACTTCTAGTTTTACATTCAATACGTCGTACGCACGCATCGCTTAATGAGAAATCGACAATGAATTTGCATTACTTTACTGTTACGCGATTAGGTATAATGGTCCAAATTTTCTGTAGCTAAACCTAAGTTTGTTACACGCATAATATTCCAAAGTTTTGTTAGTAAAAATGCTCCTCTATAGTCTATTCATCTTCCTCTGAGACAAAATGTAAACCAACTGGAAAAAGGTTCTTTAATATGTCAAAATATTCGTTCCAAGAACACCCCTTACGTTCAATCGAGAAAGTGGAGGAAGATGGGGAAGAATCTAAATAAAATTATTTACTCAAACAATTGCTAGTTTTTAATGGGACAATTTTAGTAATTTGTCCCATTAACAAATTTTATTTACATACATACCAACATCAATAAAAAAGTTTGAGATACATTGGTTTGTTTGGTTACATTTTGTCTCAGAGGAAGTTGAATAGATTATATATACTATGACCCTATATAGTTCAAAACTTCTAATAGCATTTTTAAACAACAAACAAAATATCACTACCTGAAAATTTGGTAATCGCCTTATCCTATTTAGTTAGGACTTTACGGCCTAAAATTAAATAGCTAGATTTATGCTTTGACGTGCTACTATTAGCGTACGCACGTCGGTCGTCGCCGAATCACGACGTAAAATTGAGTAAAGATTAATCGTCATTGTTAATTACTATATAATGAACCGCTAACTTTGATTGATGTTCCGCTAATTATGACTCTGTCGTCTCTTTTATTTTCCACCAAACTTAATGCGGTCAGAAAAATATTCTAGACAAAAAAGTGAATAGAGTTTTACGAAGTTTTCTCTAATATAAGATCTAAAACACGACTGACCGACACTTGAGAGTAGCTCGTTAATTTGCTGGAGGGAAGTTTTCATTTCAATAATGAGTTTTCCTTTCTCGTCCAAGGATCTTTTGAGGTTCTTCTCTTCGCGGTCCTCGGCTTCTATTTGTGCACGCAGCTGTTTCTTTTCCTTTACAAATCTATGAATAGGCAGGTTAGAACATGTTACTTAACGAGAGATTAATATATATCTCACAAACATACGTCAAACGTTAACTAACTTAAATAATATCGATTTTATGAGCCTTTATCCGTGATTTCTAGTAAATTCAGAACGTATTAATGTTACATCGAAAACACAACTCTTGTCCTACCCCTATCCCATGTCTTAAATTATCTCTTTACCAATTTTCATCATAATCAGTTAGAGGTTTGAGCATGACAGCATAACTTGAGAGTTCCTTTTGTATTTAAAACGTTAGAAGGGATAACGATATTTTTATTGCGACCATTCAGAAAACAGGCTGAGCTGAATTGGTTGAATAAAAAAGGAATTCATTTAGTTCTTAATACGTATTTCAGCAGCTGAATTCAAAATTTTGATTTTAAAAGAACATGTATAATGTTGAAAAGAAATTGAAAAAATAATCAACTGATGTTTCTGCATGGTACCGGGTTTACAATTTTAATTTTTACTTATTTTATTTACATATAAATTAACATTATAACTGAAGAGGTAAGTTAAGAACGTAAATAGTATTAGTATAGTCAGTATAGTGTAGTGGTGTTCGCATTTTTTACGGGGTTGTCGGGCAAATCAGTCAATCGGCGTGAACATATGATAGATATAGTTTAATAATTTGATAATAGAATTCTAATTACTATATTTTGGTTCATGATATATGCATCAAATTTGCAACCACGGATAGTAGGGGATATATGTATATCTGTTGGAGATCAATACTTCGAAACAGCCGAGCACTAGTCTGCCATTATTTCGGACTTTACAACATTTATCAAGTCTATAAATATTTTCCAGTGGCCGTCTCAATATATTATGTCACTCACTGCCGAGCAGGGTTGCCAAATCTTGCCGAGAAAAAAATGAGATATTTGGTCATTTAATTGGGATAATCAGAAACAATTGGATGTCTGTCCAAATAGGTTATTATAAATATTCCTGGTAGAGAAAAAAATACTACATGAGCGAGTATTTTCTTAATAATTTCTCAATGATACTGTTTTTACTTTTCCTAAAGAAAACGTACATATTGATTTTACACTTATCATTAGACCAAAACACCAAAAATTTAGACAGAGTAAAAATCATTACTACACAGCTCGGCACATTGATATATGTATAATTAACGAAATTATTATTTTCGAATTATGGCGATTGGGCGCCACGTGATGATACGGCATGGTTCAATTCGAGTCGAGCTTCTGTTATAGGATATCAATAGCGAGACAAAATAAAACAGCCGTCAGAATGCGGGACATTATTATTAAATATGTTGTTGTTGTCGGTTGGCAACTCTGCAGCCAAGCTTCCTTATTTCATAGATCACTGAATAGTACCATACGTCAAATTCCCTATTAAAATTAAGAATAAATATGTAATACATAGATAGATGAAAGTTTTTGTTAATTTATAGTTTACAAAAAAAAATTGGGTATCCAATATTAATACAACAAACGTAAGTTACTGAGGTAATAATGCAATTTATATTCTAAAATCAGCAAAAAGCAAGAAACAGTTAACATGATAATTCTACTTCACGGTTCATGTTTAGTGTGCATATGTCTGTATAAGTATGTACAGATATCCCTGCATGTTTAAAAAGTGTCGACAAAAATGCACTATCGGTGCTAGAGGTTTTTGAACAAAAATCGGATTTAAACATAAATCGACCATATAAATTAATGAAGGCGATATATTTGTTAATATGTAGGACGCATAAAATCTTTTAAAATAGTTACATAAATTGGCAGCCCTGCCAGACGAAGAAATGGGCACACAACACTACCTATTGTACCCTCCACCAAGCGAGGTGCTATACGAGGCGAGGAAGAAATAACCGTAGTTTCACTTATAAATGCATGCTCCGTACATAGACATAACTAAAGATACATCTGTTGCTGTAATTTATATGGTCGATATATCGACGCTGGAAAGCAAACACGTAGGAACTCGCAAAACCAAAATTGTTTTTCAGAATAGAAAAACTTTTATTTCTTTCGATAAACAATTCTTATAAACGCCCATGGTAACAAATAAGGTGTTCCCTAGTCAATTTATACAGAAATAAGATACATTTTATGGAAAAATATTAATATTTTTCACTTCAAATATCCATTTTGGTTTTGCAGGTTACTACGTGTTTGCTTTCCAGCGTCGATATGTTTAAATCCGATTTTTGTTCAAAAACCTCTAGCACCTAAAGTGCATTTTCATCGACACTTTTCATACATGCAGGGATATCTGTACATACTTATACAGGATTTTTGTAAAAAAAAAACTAATGTTTGTATTATTTTTTCGTATCAAGTAAAATCCATTGGTTTTAAAAACCCAATACTTAAACAAATAACAAACTAATTGAAGCGTATTTTTTCACCATTATAGCGTTTGTATGCGGTACTACGTTATTGAAAAAATAAAAGCCGGACAACAATAGGTAATTTAGACTTGCGTACCAAAGGTTCTCTCCAAAATTTAAATCCATAGCTTCTAGTAGATTTTCATATAATGTCTAGAGAGAGCTTATATTTTTTTTTCTTTAAAAAAAGTAAGAGTATTTCCCTTTTCTATGAGTATATTATAAAAAGGGACGATTTATTTGTTTATTTGAATTCAACAGGCACCGAAACTGCTCCCTCGCATGATAGTTTAGCTAGCTAGATTTAAAAAAACACCTACGGGGAAGCTATACGCGTGATACGTAAGATATATTATACGTCAGCAAAATCGTGGGAAAACATCTGGTTTATCATTTAAATATAAAAATATACGGATGAGATTTTTACAATAAGCTCTTTTAAATGATACGTCTGTCACACAATATACTCGTAGTTTGAGATGGTTTTTCCTAATTTCATTTATTTATTTACGCACCAATTACTAAGTTTTTTGTTTAAGTCCATTTGATGTCCTTTAATTAACAACTTGCATATATGTATATCACGGACTTCAAGTTATAGGGGCCTATAAGCAGTATCCATATTTTTTAAGAGACGTGAAAATATTACATGACATTTGGTCATAATATGACAGAAAATATTTCACTGATATCTTTTTAAGAAATTTGTCGATTATTTCAAAAAGCCGTTTTGTTAATAGTCGAAATGAGAAAAGTGTGGCTTTATAAAAAAAAACTCATTTTTGCTTAGAAGCCCGTTTGGCTTGAAGCTCACGATATTTAAATCAAATTATAATCCAATCGGTGTAATTATTTAAGAGAATATCAGCAGTGGCACATAAAATGAAAATATCTTTATTCAAGTAGGCTTTAAAATTTTTTGGACAATTCAAAAGTGTTTGTAGCACTTTGAATCGTCCAATTATTTTTTTTTCTCCTACCATTTGTTCAGGACGTCTTTTAGCTGACAAGAAGAACAAGCGAAAGAAACTTATCATACAGAGAGACAATTAAACAGACAACTGAGTGATAAGGATCCTATTATGTCCTAATGAAGTGCGGAACCCTAAAATTATCGGAAATACCTGTTTGTAATTTCACGCGTGCCTAAGCTCCTTCAAAATGACTAAGTCTAATTAAAAACGAACCAAATATTTTTGCGGCTCGCATTATAAATAAGTCGTTAAATTTAATTTTTATATTAGTCGCCACGGCATCGGCAGTCAAGTGAATATGGAAGAAATTTGAATAATCTCTCAAACACTGGCTTCATAAAACTTTTTGTTCCAATACGACGATTCCTTCGGGGCATTCTAAGTGTTTTTCATGCGATATTTTCCTTGAGACGATCAAATATTTTTATTAATTTGACTGTGAATAAAAATTCGAGAAATACATTTTAAGATTCAAAATATGTTACCTTCTATCTTTAGATTTTGGGAGAGGTTAATAGGAAATTGTTTATCATACTTTTGTGTCATGATCAAACTACGTTATGATATGATTAATAGCAATAATTCCTAAATCTTTTCACGATTGTTACCTCTATGACTAAGAAGAAAACCAACTTTACTCTCGATTTAGTGATTTATTTGAGTACTTATTGGACATTCGTCAGTTTTAGTTTCGCACAAATATCTTGTTTCAATATGAATCTGATTTGATTATTTTATTAAATACCCCTACACCCCTAGGTGAGAAACCACTGATTCAAAATATATAATTGGAAAGTTAGTAAGCGTCATAGGCTGCTTTCTAAAGCGAAAAGACATAAAGAGTGTTCCATACTAAAAGTGATAATATACTTTAACGTCAAAAACAACATTTAACAACGAGTTTAATAGCTAGTGTCATAGTAATTTACTGGGAAAAAGTTTATTTTTGTCACTCAGATTATGGAAAGTCTGCTAATTGAATTGATACAAAACACTTTGATGACAGTTGATATTCTATTCGTACCTAATCATATCAAATTATTTTTACTAAGAATGATTACATATTATTATAAGAAAACTTCCGTGTTTGCACTAGCAACCCGCTCGCGCTTCGCTCACTAATGCAGTGCTATTTTGTAATAATATCAGCTTCAAACTCGACGTAAGCAAAGCGCTGTCGCAGCCTAAAAGTTTTAGACTCGTTTTATTACAGAATAGCCAAGAAGTGTAGTCAAATGTATGATTAAACTAAACTCCATTCGTATTGATTATAATACTTAAACAGGACACTAAATTTTATTTTGTTTTACAACTTTCCTCATTTATTACACTATTAATTAAGGAAAACGTCAAGAAAATCCTTTTGGTAGTTTTTCAAGTATATCTTTCAAATTGTGGGTCGATTCAAGTATCACTTTCAACGACAGCACCAGTCTATATGAGGAGAAAAGATAAATAAATAAATAGGAAATCTACACTGCACACTGTCGACACTGACTCACAGTCATCTAGCGTTATTACGAAACAAAGTCGTCACGTCTATTGTCTATATTTTCATACATATTTTCCAAGTAATATTATGGAAGAATACCTATATGCCTAACCTACGATATCAATATGAGATTATCTTGAAAATTATTAGTTTTCACCATACAGACAAAACAAACAACTTAGTTAAATGCATGTTTATCAAAAATTAACTGTCACAATTTATTTTATTGCACCTATTTTGATTTATGAACGGAATTCTTGCTATTAAAGGAGGAGTTGTTTTCGCGAACTTAAGGATGGATCACAGGAAAAATCTAAAATTTTATAGATTTTTCCTGTTGTCTATGGGTATAGACTTATAAACTGTATATTTTCAAAAAAAAAATAGGTTAGGTCGTAAATCAGGTGAGTGACTCTCTCTCTATTTCTCTCGTTATAATAAGTATGACGACTAATTTTAAGGGTACTTGAAGGGTAAAACGGAAATCCAATTACTTAAAACCTCGTTGTCTGTCTGTCACCAGACTGTATCTCATGAAGCGTAAATAAAATTTTCAAGGGTGATGTATTTCTGTTGCCGCTTCAACAATAAATACTAAAAATCGGAATAAAAAGATTATTTAAGGGGTCTCCCATACAACAAACGTGATTTGTTTGCTTGTTTTTGCTCCATATTTATAGATGCTTAAAATGGATGCAAAGATACTCTATGATATATGCCACAACAAGTACGACTGTGTCTCATTGGTGGGTAAATTACATTACAAATTTCCTACTAGGGCCCATATCTGAAAATCTACTGTGGGTATGTTTTGCAACCAGCAGATGTCGCACCAATGCGGAATGCCCCTTTTCATTGCCTAGCTCATTCCTTCAACAGGTTTTTCAGCGCGATAGATATTCATAACTTGCGACCAGGATGTTTTAAACAGGAACTGTACAAAGCACTGTCTGATACATAAAGCGATGTAATAAATTTGCAAAATTTTTCAACCATTTCATCCTCAATCTCCTATTAATTTGATTTGTTATTGTAGGATAAATCATTTTCAAGTATCACCGTTTGTTAAATTTCATGTAAGTATATTAATTGCGGTGGATGTCATTGGTAGCAATATTTTGAATCTTTTTTGGAATGTTTATTTATACGAGGGTCAAACTGAAAGTTCTTAGAAAATCAAAAACTGATTACATTAGCCAGTTATTAGTTTTATTATATCTTTTCAAAATATTGTCCATTCACGTCAATACACCGCTGCATGCGATGGAACCACTGGGAAAAGCACTTTGCCCACTCGTCCTTAGGGGTCTCTTCAATGGCATCGCGATACGCAGCCACCGCTTCTTCAGCATTCATAAACCGCTTTCCTTTAAGTTTTTCTTTAATTTTTGGAAATAAATAAAAATCACAAGGCGCGAGGTCGGGGCTATACGGCGGGTGACCCAGTAATTCAACGTTTGATGTCGCCAAATAGTCGATCGTTCGCTTGGCGGTGTGCGACGAGGCGTTGTCGTGGTGAAGGAGGATCCTACTGCGAGGTCGTTTCTCTCGAACTTTTTCCAAGACAAGTGGCAAACAATTGGTAGTGTACCATTCTGCAGAAACTGTTTTTTGATCCTCTAACACAATTGTTGCAAAATGACCTATCCTTCCAAAGAACGAGGCCACCATTTTTTTTCCCGCACTTCGATCTCTCTTCACTTTAGTTGGCAACTCCTCGAAAGGAAACACCCACTGAGCAGATTGTCTTTTGGTTTTAGGATCATAACAGTAAATCCAGCTTTCGTCACCTGTTAGTATGTCGAACACAGCATTTGAGTCACCTCCGTTAAATCTTTCAATCATTTTACGACACCAATCCACACGATGGAGTTTTTGAGCCTCAGTCAAATTATGAGGTATCCACCGGGCGCAAAGCTTCCTGACCGCTAAATGTTCGTGGAGGATTTTGTGCACTTGACTCATACCGATGCCTAAGCTTGTCCGAATCTGTTGATAGGTCACTCTTTTGTCAGTCTCTATCATACGCCGCACAACACAGATGTTATCTTCAGTCGTCGCCGTAGAAGGCCGTCCCTCACGTAAATCATCAGTGAGATTAGTGCGACCACGTTTAAACTCATTAAACCAGTTGTAAACAGTCGCACGAGATGGGGCTTCATCGTGAAAGGCCAATCGTAGTCTATCATAACTTTCTTGTTGACTTAAATGACATCGAAAGTCATAAAAAATCATTGCACGAAAATTTTCTCGTGTTAAATTCATGATGACGTGACACAGACAATTTTCAATTTGCCGCCAAATCGTAAAACAAATGACAAATGAATGAAATATATACTCAGTAATATTGGCAAAGAGTTATATTTTCAAATTTTAGAATTATTTTTTTATTATATTGTTTATAAGTGGCCAGTTCTAAGAACTTTCAGTTTGACCCTCGTAATATATAGTGTTTTTTGTGATTGTTTTTCTTACCCAAATAAATAGAAAAAAAAAAGAAATATTTTCAGAATATGTGTTTATATAGTAACTTTAAATATAATTAATTAAATAAAAATTAATAAATATTTAAGAGGAGCTTCCATACAATAAATGTGATTTATTTACTCGTTTCCGCTACAGAACCCTTCGTGCGCGAATTCGACTCGCACTTGGTCTGTTTCTTATTGTCTGTCTGATAAATAGACTGTTGAAAAATATTAAACAAGTATTGTTTTATTTCTTAATCAAAAAAATGACAACGATACATTGAGTTTTAATGATTGCTTTTACTACATTTTCTACATAGTTGTGACATGGCGAGCCTCCACTTAACTTTGATGCTCATTATCTAAGCCATTTCTTGTTCAACTGAAGCAAAAAGGCGGATTAAATAGAATTTCTTTTTGTACCCAGGCATTATCCCTACTCTAGCCATAGGAATTAAATAGTTTTTATTATATTATCCATTAATATATACGCTTATATTCATTTAATTTCACTTTAACTTCAACGGACTGTTGTTTCGGCCTAGTTTGTTTTCGATTAATTCAGATTTACTGAGTTTCGTTTTAGAATTTCATGAAGTGTAAATGGATAGTTCTTAATTCTGTCAATGAGTAAGAGTAGTTCTTAAATTAAATATCCCACGATATAGTTTACAAAACTTTTTATAGTTATACACCTATCTATCTGGGATACACCAACTGACATCAGTACAATATTTAAACTCGATCGAGTTGTGTCGAAGCAAATTAACTGTAAGAAAAGAAATAAATATAATCACAAAAACAATATCATGAAAATGATCTGATCCATTATAGTATTTTGTTTTTATAATAAATTTTAAAACAAGTTACGGGAATATTCAGATACAGCTGACAGTGAACCGACGATTTTATACCAACGTAACGTCAGCTGGCAACTGACTGAAAACTGAAACTCGCTTTAACAATGTTTACCACTTTCGTATAAGCTGCCACTGGACTAACAGACATTCTATGTCGACGGTTGAAAGGTAGGTTACTGATCCAAGTTGCATATTGAGTTATGTACAAAATTATATACATAACTCAATGCTCGCATGTGTATAGAATCATCAAATTATTCGCTATTCTGCTTGAGCAGTTTTTGTTATTAAGCACGGAGGCCGGAAAATATTAAAAAAATGAACTCAATTTAATGAAAAAGCATTAAAAGAGCGCAAGACACTTCTATAGATGTCCGGTTAATATTAATAACTACATAAAATACTCGCATTTTGGGTTTACTTGTACATTTTTATTTCGCTGTTAACTGAATTGTCGAGACCTTAAAAAGTAGTATCGCTTAGAAAAATAATGATACTCACTGAGCAGTTCGCTCCTGGCCCATATTCTTCAATGAATCTAGCATTACGAGGGCATGTTTGCGATCCTCTATAAGCGCATTTCTCTTGGCACTGTTCACGGCTAACTGCATCATTAATCGCTCCGTCTGATATGTTTGCTCTTTTAATCTATCACGGTATAAAATATTATTGGTTAAATGAATAATGATTGACTAGTATCAACTAAACATTGATATTAAGAAAAACTCAAAAAGTTTTCGAAACGCTTACATAGCATTATAAGGCCAACGATATTATCCATGTTTCTAATGAAATTTAATTTAAATATAAATTCTTTAAGTAGTCGTGTATTGTCACTATGTTTTGGTGTTTCTTAACATTTTTAATCATGTGGCTAGTGCCACTATCGTTAAAATATCAACTACAGGCCGTAAAGCATTATCTAAAAAACTATATTTTTACGATTACTATTCTACGCTACCATTGCAAAATATAAGCATAAGTTCGTGTAATCGTTTCAACTATTATTTTTAACATCAATCTTTACTAACTATAAAATGTTTTAAATTATCAATTGTAACTGACCTCAATAATATTTGATCGATTGTTGACACTAGGGTATCTTTCTGAAGTCGTTTGCAAATACCCATAACTTCCTCAAGCTCCCAGTGCACAGAATGGTGACTACCTGCTTCGGCATCTTCATATAAATCATCCAAATTTGTTGCCTCCTAAATATAACGACAAATATTATATTCTTAATGAAAAATGCTTAAAAATCCACCAGCCTCAGGTGCCAACAACTCTGCAATGGGACTTGAACCAACGACCTTTCGCAATCCAGGCGACTGCTCTAACTACTGAGCTACCCAGGACCCAAAACAATTGCGAATTTTTCAAGCACTTGTTTCCTTTCGCTGCTAGTGATTTTTTAGGCATTTTTGAGTAAGGATATTTTCCATTATAGCATTGTGAATGCAAAATATATCAAATAACATAACAGGTCTTTACCTATGAAATTGCTGTTCTGCCGTACTGTGCATTTCAAATATTTTTTTTTGTCTGATAATTCAAATTTATTTTATTTTAAATAAAACATGGAATTATTTTTTCTAAAATCGTAATTTGTTTAATAGTTAGTGTTTTGTTTTCAACGCATTCTAACATTTTTAAAAATTCGAGTAATTATGGAATATGACTACTCTCTGATCTTGTTCGACAATCATAAGCGCTCATCAAGTTGGGTGTATCCTGGTTCAGCACCCAAACAATGCCCTAAATGAAAACTTACCCCTAGAAAAGTGATGGTCACTGTTTGGTGGTCTAACGCGGATGTAATTCATCACAGCTTCTTACCAAAAGGGACGAGCATATCTTTTCATTCAGATGTTCACTGTGAAGAACTGAACACAATGATGGAGAAGCTTGCACGTCTCCAACCAGCTTTGGTCAATCGTTTGGTTTCACTGCTCCTGCACGACAATGCTCCTGTACCTCATACTGAACAGCAGACGGTCTCCAAGCTACAAGAGCTAGGATTGGAAGTTCTCCGTCATCCGCCGTTTTCACCAGACTTTGCACCTACAGACTTCTACTTTTTCCAGAAATCGGATATTTTCTTGGCGGGAAAAAAATTCACTATCCGAGAGGCAGTACAAAATGCCTTTGAAGAATTTGCTGCTTCCCATCCAACTGATTTCTTCAAGAAGGTCATCGATAAGCTACCAATGTGTTCACAAAGATGCATTGATTGCATGGGTGATAATAGAAAAATAAGCTTCATTTATTTCATGAAAAACGGCAATTTCATTGGTAATGATCTAATATATTATGGTTAATAATCTGCAGAATATCTATGCCTACAAACTCTAAATGAAACGTTGACTTTTAATAATCATCCGACTCTTACCTCTTTCCGAATCAAGTTGGGGAATGAGTCAACCAGATAAGCAACTTCACGACGGACTAATTTCAGGGTTCTTTCTCTTTCTTTCATGTTGGCCTTGATTTCCTTTTCCAGTTTATTGAACTCAAACTTTCTATCGTCCAAATACTCCATTGCTAGTTGGCCCATCTCAGTAGCACCCATCAGACATTTCCCTTGAGCACGGCAATCCAACTTAAGCGCCTCCAATACAACAGTAAAATACGATGAATCCTAAAACAACCACATTTATAAATGTCAAAAACCTAATAGGCTGTCAGTGCATAACATATTAATCATTAGATTTTTATGATTAAGTTTATTAAAACGCTTAGCCTTTTTTTACTACAATCATGTTTTATAAATATAATATGTTTTCTTTTTATCAAGATAATGTCGTCAACAGGTATTGAATAGTTGTAAAAACCTTATATATTTGGATCAAAAAACACGATTAACATTATTAAATAAGTCGGCAGAAGATTATGGTAAACTCGAAGTGAAATCCAGACGGGTTGCCTATGGCAAGAATCTACAAAAATATATTCAGAAATTGCTTATCAGAATTGTTTATTCAATAATAAATTCATAAGATCCATTTGATGATTTATAAAATATGTTTTGACTAGCTATTTCAAAGAAATTTCATTTACATGAAGGACACAGATATTATCAAAGCTTAAATGACATACCATACTTTAGTTCAAATGATACGAATATTATTTAAAATTATTACCTATAATATTTGTTTAAGGTTTGTCAACTATAGCCTTTGTTACACAATAACAGTAAATTTAAAGTTGACCAAGTATTTATCGTTAATTTAACGATACTTAGTTGAAAAGAGTTGCACCAGCGCCTTCGGGTATTTAGTTAAAACTAAAAGGGCTGAAAGTCCAATGAGTCATATCTTACTTAAACCTTATTACAGTGAACTCTTTAAAAAAGTTAAAATGCATTTGAAATTATTACAAAAACTAAACATTTTCTTCTAGCTATCTACTTCATGTGTCTCATAACATTTATTACTTTAGTAAAATTTTATAGTGTGGTTTGAATGAAAATTAACTTGCTATAATTGAATGATATCAACCTGCTCAAAGCTTCATAAAAATTGACATTAGTACAATGCCACATTACTCAAATACTTTCCAGATATAGATCATTCGTAACAGCTTAAATTCATTTCTGCAACTGACCGTAAATACTGTAAGTTCCAATTATCCAACTACCTTGGCGCATGGTGAATATTCGTTTACGGAGAGTAGATTAACCAATTCCGACGATTTGACTGACTGGACGATTAAAATTTATACAGTGTTGTTAAGATAAACTTAAGTATAAAATTTTACGCATCAAAAGCATGCATCATGACCGAATCACTCTCATGCAATGGGATCAAGCGCATGGTTATTGGTGGATCGCCCGTTTGCGTGATATTTGGATCATTCTGATTGGTCAAGATTTTTCAAATAGGTGCAACAATGAATCGTATCTTACTGTATTATTCGCTTATTTTACTAGTCTGTTACTTTGAACTTTCTGTCCGATCTAAGTAATAATTCTGTGCGCAGCTGGTGCATTTATAAAACACTAGCTAGCAGCTGCTAGCTTTAATGCATTGTCTGTACAACACGGAGCGTGGAGTAACTATCGTAAACATTAATCTATCTGACAGCCGAGCGAGCATCGCTGAATGAGTTTCATGTTTGGTAGTTTTTGTCGCTAGGTAAACTAGAGTGGCTCACGTAGGAGAGTTCAACACACCCCCGGTTGCTTTCCAGGCGGCAAGGATAGTTAGTGCCTTATGCATTTCCTCGACGTAAATTAAAAAAAAAATAATTAACTCGAGTGATTTCTCGCCGAAAATAGTGTGAACATTAATCAATACACAAAATCATGCATGAGTATCTTTTTTTATAAATCCCATCGTTGTACTTACTATATCTGTGGTACTGGTATAAAGTTCGAGAGACAGCAAAATTTTACTTTTGCAATACTTGTAGATAATATTTTCTTCAATCTCGTTATATGATTAAAATTTATAATACCCTACTGAAGGAAAATCTGAAAATCCGTCCCTCGTAAAGATAGTATAGATGAAAGATAAAGCTGTAATATTGAAGCGCATTTCATATTAATGTTATTGTTAAAAATTCACCCGCTTTCTACCTACACATACGGATTTTCAGATAAACAAGCTCCAACCTAAAGGTTAGGTCAAATAGCGGACACAGCGGGACGTCAGTGTATAGTGGTTTGCTTTTGAAATATTTGGATTTAGAACAGCTATATTAGGGTAGTTGCATCAATATAGAATGAGGAATGAAGTTGATGATAACTTTACTATAAAATCTGTAATTGTAACTATTATATCTGGTTGTTTACTTAAATAAATATTTTCATATATAGCAAAATGCAGATTTTATATTAAGGCGTTTTACGGTTTGAAACGATTAAAGAAAAAAATGTCTGGGAGAAAACTAAATTATTTTTTATCCTCAGTCTCCTATCAATACACAGTATTCAAATTTTATAATAACCTAAGGCATAAAAATACTTGACATTTAGACAATGTAAATTGGTAATTATTGGGTTAAAAATATAGTTTTTTTTTTCTAAACTTTTACAACCAGACCACTGTGTGGCGCGTCGCACTGGCACGACATTACCATCCCATAGGATACAGTATGATCACCTGAAAAGTGTCAATAAGTTGTATGCGTCAGAAGTAAACATAAATAAGAGTTTTAATAATAGTAATATATTGTTGAATAACCAATATTCGCTTATAAATTATCAGACGGGGTAGCCGGGAGTGAAGGCGCCTTTCAGTCCTTGTCCCTTTATAGGCACACTTACGGCTGACTAGACACAGAAATGAAATCTCTGATGGAATTTAGTGCTAACATTTGATACAAATCTACGAAATCGCACATGTTAATGTTAGCGGAGTATTTTTAATACGTCATATTGTTAATATAACTTCCCAATTGGATCGATGTAATGTATTTAAGATGTTTTTTTATAAATATTGGACAACATTACATACACTGGTTAGATTTCATTAAGCAGCTAAAGCACTTGAATTATGACAATCTGAAACAACGAATGTACCACAACACTCAAAATCGCAACAATATAACTATAATAACCCGACTGGAATCGAATTTTGTAAGTCAGAGATGGCCATATCATAAAACCGTCACATCGCCATAGAGGTAGTTAGGTTACCCTTCTTGAATTCTAATCAAACTGTTTACAGTCCACGCCAAACGAAACACGTTTTCTAAAATAAAAACTTATATAATCAACATAGCTTGTAGTGTATAATGTCATTTTCCAAGCCATTGATAATAAATATCAATATCTTTTACCATTACCTTGTTCAGGAGTATTACGGATAATCCGGATCTAGAATGATGAACCTTTTTATGTTAAGCTTCTCGAGAGAAACACAGCCATTAAGCTATTCTGAAACTAAAACTTTTAGTTCGTCCGTAAAAAATCCGTACGAGTCACAGATGCTGGATGTATTACATTATAAGTCATATAAATCATAAGGCTTAAATAGTTGTGGCGTACACAGCGACATCTATTAGGAGGCTAATTGTGGATCTTTGAAATATTTGAAAGATTTTCACGAACCACACACTATAACTACATACTTGACATATGAAAGCGGAGGGTATCCTTGCTGGAATCGAACCACCCCGGCAGCCTAAGTATGATAGAGTTTGAGTGTGTGGAAAATGCCGAGGAGGGCGGAAAGACAGCAGAAGGCCAAGTGAAGATCTATACAGACGGCAGCAAACTTGAGGAAAAAGTCGGTGCAGCCCTGACCTGTTGGAAAGGGGCTGTTGAGATCGCTTCCCGAAAGTACTGGAGCCGTACTGTACGGTCTTTCAGGCTGAGTTGTACGCCATCCTCCAGGCTACGGAATATATGATGAGTAAAGAATGGACGGAGGTAGCGGTGCTAAGTGATTCGAGATCCGCCCTACAGTCGCTGCAAGATCCAGACTCCTCGCACCCGATCACGAAGGCGATTCAAGGCAACCTGGTCCAAATTAGGGAACTGGGCCATAAGGTCTCCCTATTCTGGATCAGGGCCCACGTCGGCGTGATCGGGAAGTGTAAATCGCACTATGACGGGTGTCCCATCTCTTTTGTCAAAAGGCATTTACGCAGTTTGACAAAAGTAGAGTGGGACAACCGTTATAGGAGCGAAAGCACCGCTGCCAAGGAAGATGAAGAATGACAGATGGGCTGCACAACTGCTAACGGGGCATGGAGGGTTTAGATCCTACCTCCATGATTTTAAATGCAAGGATACCCCATTTTGCGAGTGCGACCCCCAAACGAAGCAAGACGTTTTTCACGTCATCTTAGAATGCCCAATTTAAGGCAATATCAGGCACACTCTACAAAACAGCATAGAAACAAAACTTAGCAAATCAAACCTAGAATTAATAATGGCAAACAAAGAGGAAAGAGAGATATTTGTTAAATATGCTTGTGAAATGGTTAAAAATGTAAATAGCAGAAACAAAGATTAAGATTTGAATAAAGGCAAACAACATGATAACTGTGATATTAGTATATAAGTAAAATAATCTGTCACCGAAAGTAAATGTAAATTAGAAATAAAAAAAAATAAGAATGTAAACAAAACCAGAAATAATGTATAAATAGATAGATATAAATGATGTAAAATAAATATAAGCATACAATTATAAGACAAATTGTAATAAGTATAAGAATGAATAATGTATTAGTAATAAGAACAGATAAAAAAAGAGGGAAAAAAGAGCAATCCCCAAAACAGGCTTAACAACCTGTATAAAGAAAAAAGAAAATAAGTAAAACAATTCAAAATAAGATAAACAGGGATGTCTGTTGCTAAATAGTGGGGGAAACCTGCCAAAAAAAAAAACATATGAAAACGATTGCGATGGCGTCGTTCTTTTTTAGATATTGAATGCACGATATGGTTTATTATACCGAAAATGGTTTGTACGTCAGCGTGCCCGTGCGTATGCGTCGTCGCACGTACACACTTGCAAAATTGTCGAAGTTATAGGAGTCAAGACATGAGCGGCAACTCGCCAGTCGCCAGCCGTGCTTGCGTACATTCCGCGCATTGTATTGCCGATCGTTATAAAATTTCTGGATGTAAACAAGATGGCTTTGAAAATTAAACCAAAATATCACTACAAAGTATAAAACAAAGTCGCTTTCTCTGTCCCTATATCCTTAATCCTTATCCTTATCCTATATCCTTATGTATGCTTAAATCTTTAAAACTACGCAACAGATTTTGATGCGGTTTTTTTCAGTAATAGAGTGATTCAAAAGGAAGGTTTATGTTTAATACAAGATCACGCGGGTGAAGCCGCGGGCGGAAAGCTAGCGTATTAATAAATCCAGTATATGGTATTTCACATTTTTATAAATTAAGTATATGGTATTTCGTTCTTTAGGTATTCGAGTAATTTATTATAATATCATAAGTATGAATTATTTCTGCTCAAGATTACGTTTACCAGATCAATTTGTACTTTAATTAATAAAATCTCTATGCCCGAATACTGCCAAATTAAAATTGATATTGAATTATATATTTGCGTATTAGACAATAAAATATAACAAAAATATGGGCCTTTGATAAAAACACATTATTATTAAAAAATAAGATCGGCATTATCTTATTTTGTTCGTAGCCTGATATTTGGAAAAAAAATGAATAAATACATAATTCATTAAAACCACGTTCTAATTTTACAAAACACTAAATTAATGACATGACGTAGGTATGAAAAACATTGCAGTCTACATTTTAGAGATTGATTGACCAAGCATTTCTGACGATTCGATAACCTATAAGGGACAGCCCTACGTGTTTAGGCTATTATCTCTCGCTCGGGTCTCGGATGCACCTACTTATATATTTCTACTGTGCTACTGGGAAATGTCAAACAAAAAAGTTGAAAGCTAACTGCAATCTTTCAATCAGAGTAACTAGGATTTCAATAAGTTTCTTAATTTTTTTTATTATCATTCGTTCCAAAACATATATAATCCATAAATCACTATCATAATCCAAATAGATTTGAAAGGGATTGTGATAGACTTTGACATTACTAACAGATAACCGTGCCATGTTTTCTTATTCTACTCCTGATATATGGAGTATTTTATAATGTAGTAGACATTGTTTTCGAAAGTTCGAGTGGTGAAAAAAGTAAAAATTTAGTCGAATTACAGGTCTATGGTCCTCCTAATAGTGGTTCGACCACAACACGATATAAATAAAAGTATATCTTTTCTGTTCGGGTACTTCGGGTCTGGTACTTTCATTGTATAAAATTTTCATTACAAGTGCTATAACTCCCTAATAAATATACGTGTTGTTGTTTCTCATTTATATATTTATTTTGATGATTTTCTATAAAATGTAAAATAATATATTAGCCAGTCTGAACTATTAATAATCAAATTATTTTAATGAAACTAATAAATAGGCTACAACCATGAGTGAAAATTGAATCATATACCCCTGCAATCAAGTTTAGAGGTACTCGTATAATAAAACAAGAGACTGCCGAACTTAATCGTGAACAATCAAATTTATTTGTCAGTATCCATTACACTGATTCGCCAATTTAATTAATTAGCTTTGATGCATATGATGTACTAAATGGACATGCTGTTAAGCTCTTAAAACAGTCCATATAAATTATTTCAGATGAAATTTTGATCCCTATCAAATATCAAATTTATTTTTTCATTAAAATAAATTTCTATACACCTTGCAAATGGATAACAGATGACATTAGAGATAGAACTCTAACAATACTTGCGTACGATGGTACACGTGTTTTCATACAAAGAACTTTGCAATTTATTTCTTTCGCCTTCTTTCAGCGCGTTCAATTGAAATTGAAATTGAAACGTTTATTGAACACGCACACAATTACATATTAACAAAAAATAGGATGTTAATTAATTACATATTAACAAATAATAATACAATTCTGATAGGTATGCCTTTGCCTACACAGAATTGTGAAATTGTAATCATTTAAAGACAAAATCGATTATTTGGTAAAAACTTCTAACCAACCTAAACTTTTATGGTCATGTTAGGTCATAGTTTTTACAGGTGTATTACAATCTGATGGCAAATCGGGAAATTTTATTTTGTAGAAGGCAACATTGGGGAAAAAGGATAAAGACATCCTGATACTTGTAATATTTTGAATTTATTAAATATTTTTCAATAACTGCCTCATAGCATTGAACATACTCTTGACTATATTCCTGTATCTGCAAATTTTGACATAGGTTAGCCATCTGCGTGGGACATAATGAAGTTCACAAACATGCACCTTTACTTAAACCCTATAGTACCAATATCTAATATTTTGAATGGACAGCACCCAGCCCAGAAAAAAATCCAATAATATTTTACCAGACTCGGAGTCTAACACGAATAAATTAAAGAAGCTTCACTTTATGTATTTTTTATTGCTAATCTCTACTAATGCTGCAACTGCTGTTACGCTTACACATCTAAATCATTTGATTTAGATGTGCAAGATTTCTGCTTTAGTTTATTTTCTTGTTTTCACGGTTTCTATTTTTACCCGGTGTAGAAAAATATCTTCATATCTTTTCCTTCACTAATAATTCGTTTTATTGTCAACAGTTGACAATTTAGTTATTGTTCATTCATTAATAAATTATTGTAATAAAAATAATATTTCACTATTTAGTTGGTATATATATACTAGAATTATAGTTAAGAGCAACGTGATCTGAATTATGATTAAGTAGATTTACCGATTCGAATTGGTTCAATCAAATAAAGAATGTCACTTACCTTTTTCAGTATATCCAATATCTTCTTGTACATGACCTTTATCGCTAGCGCGGCATTTTTTTTTATATTGGCACGCTGTACATAGTTGGCCACTGCTTGTTCCTTCTTCTCTGCGGGCAGCTTCCCTCCCACTTCAAATAACAGTCGATCACGAAGTTCGGCTGATTCTAACTATAAAAAAATATCATCTATCTGTAATGCGTCCGGGCTATCGCGGTGAATGGTAGTCAAATGAAAAGGCTAACTAGACTTGACAAGTATATTCTTGATAAAAATAAACTGTTAAAAATAATTTTAAATCAGTTCATTATGATAAACAACTGTAGACACCGCAGAACTGAAATAATAAATATACTAGGAAATTCACCCATTCGCCGTTGCAATAGAACTTTGCAAATTTTGTTTAAATCCAATCGCAGACCAACATTATACCACAACACCATCGTACTCTTTGATGAAATAAAAATAATTTCTTTATTTATTATTTTTTTGCACTAAACAGTCCCTAAATGACTGTTTAGTGTATTCCATCCAGCATCCTCCATAAGATAATATCATTTATACTGGACTTTTTTTTTGGTACAGATTTTGAAGAACCCTCTAGAATATTGGAAACAGTTCGAATACAAAACTCAGGGCAGCAGGGGTCACTGAAGGGCAATCTTTGAGTGTAGCCGACGGCTACATCATAAAATGTTAAAACTGGATAATTGAATCGCGCGAGACCCCTACTACTGATATACGATCACTGCAGTTTGTTTGAATGTACTTAGTATCTATGCTAACGTCATCAATGTCCTTTGTTACAATAGAACAAGGATACAAAATAAAATAAAAAGTTTTTTATAACAAGCTTGTTTCTGGTGTATTGTATTCTACAAGTTAGGCCCTTTCATTTGATATCCATATTGAGTGGGTCGTTCAGAAATTGCTTTCCATTGTCCATACGTTGAGACTTTTAAACTACACAACTGATTTTTATGCGGTTTTCAAGAGCAGATAGAGTGATTCACGAGGAAAGTTTTTAGGTATTGTGTTATTTAATTTTTTCCTATGAAACTATCAAATATTTATATTTAGGTATGTACAAAGAATTAACCTTCTAATAATAGGATATGGAAATATCAAATGTTAAAAAAAAAGATAATTTTACTGAAAATCATATGAAAATGAAGTCGTGCCCTAGCAGCTTAGTGGTTATGGTAGTCGCCCGTTTAACGAAAAAAATAATACCTACCACCTATATTGGATTGGATTTCAATTCGTCGGCGTTTGTTTTTCCCGAAGCAACGCAATGTTTATTTACTCGTACAGTATAATATTCTAGACGCCTCACCTGGGTCAGACGAAACTTTTCCATTTTTTTCTTCTTAGTATATCTGATTCTGTCCAATTGTTTACGTTTGTTGAAATTTTCTTGGTGTATACTCTCGAGTACTCTCTAGAACAAATCAATCACCACATTAATCAATCATTTCATACAAGCTCTTAAAGCCTTTTTACACTGGTGATTTCAGAGCGAGTAAGAATTGAAGCTAACACGGTATGTGGACCTGGGAACGGACAGGGGCACAATGAAAAGCCCGATTTGATCTTCTGTGAAAAAAAAATCTGCCTCGAGCAAAACGCTGTCGATATTTAATCAAATAAAACATTTATTTCCTTTTGAGGTAGGTTTTATGAGATTAAAACTCTAATATTGCGATAGCGTACAGCTGTACCTACAACAAAATCTACATTTATTTGATACTACTAAAATACAAGAACAGGTAGACAGAGAGATACAAATGTAGCCAATGCCATTGTACACATTTTTACGAGGTACCAAGCTAATATATTACAATCCGTTTTGCTCGCGAATAGAAATAATGAAAAAATCTGTTAATGTTTTTCGATTCAATAGCTCGATATTTGTTTCCCAACGTAATCTGGTGGCTAGTGGTAAAACGTATCACTCGTTTGGCTACGTTTGGCTAAACACGCCTCGCTTATAACTTGACATAATATTTCGATTCATATAAAGTTAAAATGTTACCGAATAAGACTTCTGAATCACCCAAAATTATTTTTCCGTTCAACTGCTTGAGTATTCTTTGAATATTTTGGTTTAAACAATGAAAATAAGTGTACTAGCTTGCCTGCTATTAGGTAATGTAGAATTTATACGGTTCGTGTTCAAGTTCTTATTATGAAACCAATGTAGAACATTTACATCTACAAAACCAAAACAAAACCGAGGGTTCATACAAACCTGTATGATATAATTAGAAAAATATTTTCGAATTTTTTTTATTTCATTTCAAGATTCTAGGTCGACTGGAAGTAACCTTAAAGTTTTGATTCCGTTGCGAATTTGAAAATATGCTTTGATTTGATTAACTGACTTAGAAGTTTGATTTTGTTACATCGTAAAGGTATTATAGACCTAAAAATTTGATATGAATTTCAATTTAATACCTCTACGCGTTCATGAGGAAAGACGTAGTAACTTTAAAAATTATTAAGAATATTTTTATTATATAATGTAATTAAAAAGGCTTTCGCAATTCTTACTTTATCTTGCCTTCGACCAAATTTCCCTTGTGAGATCGAAAATTTGTGACATAAGCCACCGTACCCTTTGCTTGCGTTTGCTTAGAAGTTGAATATTTTCACAGGTCCAACACAGTAGACCTGAGTATTTGATATAAATTTCAGCTTGATATCTCCACGCGTTCCCGAGAAAAATGGGCTTGACAGATGAACGGACAATAAAGTGATCCTATAAGAATTCCGTTTTTTTCCTTTCGAGATACGGAACCTTAAAAACGTAACAGTTAAACTAACACCTCTAAAATTGACTCAACATTCTTCAACTTTGCTGTTCAAAGCTATCGATGCGATGATGACGATATATTTAACTAATAGGTTAAAAAAAAATATTTGTGGCTGCACAAATTGAAAAAACTACATTCCACTGATTTGATAAGAAAATCGCAGCACTGATTTCCTTTTCAATTTCACAGCAAAAATATTTAGAGTGCCGACTACCGATACCTGAAGTGTCTCATTAAAATTGAGGTGCATGGAGCGTCGATATTGAGTGCCGATTGTGAAAAATAAAGTAGCTTTGTATGCTGAAGAAATCAGGAAATATTATTTATTGAATTGAGTTTGTTCGGACTTTATGTCATACCGTGGTTGCCATATTCAATTTAATATGTCGTTACATGGCAATCAGCGGACAGTCAAAACGTTTTTAACAATGATAAATAATTGTAAAATTGTCATTATAATTAATTTATAAGTAAACAGAAATACCACACATATTACACCATAATTCCATTCCGAACATCCTCGTTTTATATCTTATGATAAATTATAGAATTCCAGGACATAAATGACATTTGAATTTATAGGTTTCGTATTTTTTTTTTATAAGGAGGATGAAAAAAGAAAACGTTCAATAATTTAATATCCTACCAACCTGACAAAAATGTATCTGTTTAACTATAAAAAAAAATGAATTTTAAGATACAATCTTCAAAAGTGTCACGTTTTTGATCAACCAACTTAGGTGGATTTAAATTAGTTCTTTGACGAGAAACCCTATTTAAAAAGGCGGACAGGACAACTCGAATAATCAAATTCAATCCGCGTTAAATGTAACTTTCCGGAGTTAAAAGAATTTTTAGAATTGTTCCATTACTTTCGGGGCCTTATCATTGCAAAGAAACAAACAAACAATCAAATCATTCTTCATTATATTATTGGTATAAAAGTTGGGGGTGAAGGGCGGCTGGTATATGCTCAAGTGCGCGGTGTTGAGCAGGATATATCTACCGTCAAGTGACAGGTGTACGTCCACGTCGTTCATCTCGGTAATACTTGGAACCATTAACAGGCACCGCACAACGCCATCTACCTTGGGATCCAAGTAGCGAAACCATCTGTCGCTACCTTTCCAGTGCACTCCAACACGGAAAGGGAATACTCGGTAAGCCAGTGACTCATTTCGAGCTTCCGATGTCGCACCTGAATACTATCTCCCTACATCTATATCCAGTCTGTAGTCCTAGTGTACCTTTTAATAGGACACTCCCAGATGTGCGGGCTCCGTGGAGTGTGGGAAGCGGACTGGATGAATTATACACCATACACAACATGGACACTAACAGGTTCAAATCACCGTCACAAACAAACACCAATACACCCTCTCGTGAGTTGGTCTTAATGGCGTCCTCAGGAGAGCACAACACGTCTGAAGGGAAACAGGCTCACAAACTACACCTACACCCCATGAGGGGACCGGCATGGTGGAGGAAAGGCACTGCCCAAGCAAGCCCAAACGATGCCACTACCAGTCGGGACAAGGCACCCAGAACGTATGGGGGAGCGACAGAAAACTTGTTGCCTAAGCAAACCCAAGTGGGACCGGAGCCAAGTCACGAGAGGGACCGCCCACTGCCAAAGGGGAAGGGAAGGGGAAGGGGAAGGGAAAGGCAAAGTCCAGCGCCAAGAGGGCCCGACTCGACGTGACTGTGTCTCCGAGAGGAGAGCCCAAAAGGCAAAAGACGGAGCCGTCAACCGGACCCAGCTCTAACTCCATCTCCAAGCGTTCCTACGCTTCTGCAACATCGGCAATTGTGACCGCCTCCACATCGGAAACTCGATTCGCTGTGACGTCGAGCGAGGGATACGTCTCTCGTGAGACGGCCGAGCTAGTCGAGGAGAAGATCGAGGAAGGGATCTCATTGGCAGTAACACTGTGTTCCGCGAGTGTTCCAAGGTCGCCCTGGTGTTTAGTGGGAAACCGCTTTACGCTGACGGGTGTCTTAGGTACACATGCGGCAACGAACAAACCCTGGAGTGGGTACGACAGCAGGTACGGAGCGTACAGAGCCCAGATGGAGGAAATCTTGTTGTCCTTAGGGCGGAAGAGATCCCCAAACGGGTTAGGTGTAGCTTCATTCTGCCTAAACTCTGGAACAAAGATCGGGTTATGCTAGGCAAATGCCTGGCGATCGGGAATCCAGACTTGAACATCGAAAGAT